TTCTATGCCAGTCTATTCATTTCGGTTGCTTCCTCTTTTTAGTCTTTCTTCTCTTTTTGGTAGTTCGCTCTCTATTGTGCTTCTCTCAATCTCTTAGTCTTATTTTTCTTTTCTCTTATACTTTCTTGTTAATTCGTTGAGTTTATTTTCTACTGAACAACTTGTATTTGAAAAGTTTTATATTGCACACGATAATTCTGCATTTCGTCAAAACTCAAATCATAAAAAATACAGATTAAAGCTTCTTTTCAAAAGTAAAGTACAGAAATCGGGAAGAGTCTTCTCTCGAGAAGCCATGATTTATTTGCTTTAAAAGCGATTCTCAGCAATCTCTTCAGCTTCATACATGGAAAAATTAAAGGAAAAAAAACTTTTACGGAGTTTAGCGGTGAATCCAAATTGAAGTGGCAACATTTTTGTTCCACCATTAAACAGAAAAGGCAAGACAATGATTAGATTATCAACTTTGGATGCAACAACACATAAAAAAATGGGAAGACAACCTAATTAAGAATAAAATTAGAAAGAAATTTTAAAAGTAAAAGTACCACAAACAAGAGTAGTATTAAGGACTGGGAATACTGAGAAAATTGCTATAATTTGGATAAGACTATCATTTAAGTAATATGGACAATCAAATTCTGCTGTAAATGATAAAATAATAATCATGATTTCAGTTTTCATATGCTATAATTTCATCGTTGGGGCAAGAAAAACAAACGGATTCTTTGGGACTGGAATAAAAACACATTGAATAAAAAAGAGCAGAACATTGTTGGAAGTGGAATGATAAAAAAACATTACCAAGGTCCTTATAGGCATTTGGGAGGATTTATTTTATTCTTCGAGATTCCCATCGTAAAGAAGAAGCATATGAAATCGACATGCGTAGCATCAATAAAAATTGAGAGATATCATCTTTATTATTAACAGTAATAATAGTTGTGAATTTTGAGGGATGCTACTACAACTACTAGAATTTCAAGCATTTTTGGTAAAGCCTAATTTATATAAATTTACAGCATTTTTATTCATTCAGTGAAGTATTTTACTTAATGCCAACGTTCATTTAAATGATGTATTGTAAAGGGTATTCCAATAATGTGATTAATGATGTTTTTCTTTTTCTTTCAGATTTGGCGGATATTTGGGCGATATTTGTTTTTCAACACATAATTGCCAAGACTCAAGTAACATGATCCAATAGAGAAATGAATAAATTTTCACCAATAACACCGATTTATTTACTGTTGACTTTGATCCGTCTTAATGAAACACCCTTTATAATACAGGCATGCGTGCACCTTTTCGAATGATTATAATAAGCTCCAGTATTCAATTCTGAATATATATATAAACTAATTGTAAGATTTAATATTATTAAAAATGCTGCGAGTAGTTTTTTTGACAAACCTAATGACAGCAATAATATAAACGCTTTGAATTACCTTCCAGAATTTTCCGTATCTGACCAAAGGGCAAAGCGAACTTTAAGTTCTGTCTTTGCTATTTCAGGTAAAAAGAATGAACGAGTAAACAAACTGGAAAATTTTGAGATAAACACGAGTGACACAGAAATTAGGAGAAAAAAAAGGTAGACTAAAATAACTAGAACAATGAAAATCTCTCCTAGGAAGTCTATTCCAATTATTGTTTCATAAAAGTTACGAAAATGGAATGGACTATCGTGATATTTCATTTGGCAATGAGAGAAAACAATACCATTACCACTAATAATATTAATAATAGAAATATAAACAGAGTATAAAGGATAATGACAATTGCATGGTATTGGAAAGCGGCTTGTTAAAAGATGATGCCAAAAACAGTGAAGAAGCATACAAAACCAAAAAATAGAAAAAACAGAAAATATCTGGTGAAAAGGGCTGAATATGTTTACGGTGAAAACATCAAAAACATCCTATTAACTTATAAAAACCAACTGGTTCAAAGCAAAAATGACGAAACATTATATCTATGTCTATATTTCTAAGGTATTGTAATTTACATTATTTATATTGTTTGAACTGTTGTCCTCACCTTTATTGTCATATTGACGTCGTCTCGGTCGTTGTACGACATTTTTTTAAAGAATCTATTTCTGTAATAAATAACACCAAGTAACTTTATAGATATATCGGTCACGTATCCTTATCTCCTGTAATTGAGATAATGAGAGGTTTCTTTTCGTATCAAGAGTCATTACTCAATCCTAATAAGCTGATATCTTCGTATTAAGAATACGACAACTAATTATATTTGTGAATATTTGAAATGAGGAGTTGTCATTTACATACGGACTATTGTTATCATCTTATTACAAAATTTCGTCCGTTGTGCCATCTGGTTTTTATTAGGTGCTTGTCGATCCCGGTAACCTTCAGGAAACTGATGAAGGCTGGAGGGTACAACGATCGAAACGTTGTGATAAAAAAAGAGGACAATAGTCCGCGTGTAAATAATGTAAATAATGAAATATCTCCTAAGAAATTGATGATGGTGGTGGGATTAAGTTTCGAATATATGCCTTTTTATGGTTTAGTCTTCTCTGGGTTTTTTTCTACTTTCATGATTTCGAGTTGAATTTTTTCTTACTTTATTGGAATTAAACAGAGTTAATTTTATCGATAACTATCCAAAATTATTCATGCTAAAAATACAACAATTTATACAGATAAAACATTACGTAAATATTTTTGTGATTATTTGACGGTATGGGTAAATAAGTATTTTAATGCTAAAAAATTGTTTTTACTATTTAGATATAAAGTAAAATTTTACAATACTTTATTCTTAATTTTCAAAGCTTTATTAAAAACAATATGCACTGCAAATTTATTCCTTTTTTCTTGTACCGTTCTAATTTCCCAGAATTAATTTTTTTCATAGTCAAAACTAATCGCAATAAGTGCACTAAATTTTTATAGATAGTCAAATATTGATTGTACCAAGTATATTTAAATATTCTGAAACTTTATACACTAGTACCGTAAAGGAACACTTAGGTATGTGACTAGTGAATGTATTTTGAAGAAATACATAACTTTAGCACTGTTATATAAGAAAATTAGCTTGTCTATTATTGGATTGTATACTGAAATAGACATGTTTCGATTTTTTATACATTGTCTGTTATTTAACAGAACCGCCCACCAATTCCGAATAAAGTCTTTTTTAACGTGAGTGCCCCACACGTACAGGGAACTTAATTAAAAAAAATAGTTTTTCTGAAGTCAATATATTTTGTAATGATTCTAAAGTTTACAAATATAAATAGAGGCTTCAAAAAGATATCCAGTTTCCGTTGCAAATTACTCAGTTATAACCATAGAAAAAAGATCTTCCAAGACTATTTGAAAATTTGTACACTCTAGGTATTTACAAAAATGCATATTGGCAGATTATGTTGACAATATATTAATACGTTTTGTAATAATAATTACAGATTTTTAACGTCTGGCTGGCGTTATCAAATAGGGGAGTGATTTTTGCCCTTATTAAAGGCAGAGATACTAGTGTCGAAACATAATAAAGCAAAGCAAATAGAAATCTTATATAAAATGAAAATACTAATAACATACTATTGAATATGGGGAAAGAAAAAATGCCAAGCAGAGGAATTTTGGCTTCGTTTTAAATAAATGCCACAATGGAATTCGTGAATGAAAGTAACTTTTTTTTCATAATTTTTTAGTAAAGCATGACATAAACGTTGCTTATGTTACTATTTCTAATACATCAATGGTACAAATCAAAACTACGAAAGTTTTTTTTTTTTTTTAGTTTTTTATTTGTGCCATGACACTTTGGAATAAAGAAACGCGAGAGAAATACCAAGATTTAGTCAAGGATCAATGAAAAATGAAATTTAAACAAAATAAGTACTTAAAAATGTTTTCTTACTGTATGTGATTAATTTTACATGGTCGTATTATATTACATTTGATACAACTTACGCATAGCACCGAAGGTGTTACTTTTGTTTTAAAGTTGAAATCAGCTTTTCATGGTTTCTTTATTACAAACCAAGCAATTGTGCAATTGTAAGTGTTTATCATCCTCATCATCCACTGTTTTCATGCATCTGCAATGTTTTGTCACTTCTTGTTTTGATTGAGTTTTTTCTTATGCATTTAATTCTAGGCTATAATAAGAGAATTAGTTATCTTCAATGTTTTCTTGTGGTCAATAAGTAATAGTAGTTCACAATACTTCTGAATTCTACTCGATTTTAGCATTGTTGCAAGATGGAGGATTTCAATTTTGCTTCAGATTTCCATTACTGTCACCATTTTTTTCTAGGTTATTTAAGGCTGTTAAATCACTCTAATAATGCTATTCAGTATTTTTTGGTTCTTTTGCGAAATTTACATATTCCTCTAGCTCTTCAATTTCTTTCAGTTTTATCGTGGTCTGTTCGGACAGAAAAATCCATTGGCACGTTATTTTATCTTGTTCCCAACTAGATCTGGCCTTGTGGCTTACATTGGAGGATTCTTTTGAATGCCAAACTGCTTTTTCAATCATTTCACTCCAAACAAGGCGACAATGTCACTAACACTCCAGGGGTTTGCTGAGAGTGAAAGAAATTCGAAGAATTTAAAAAGGAACCGGAAACCCAATCCTAAATAAGAAACAAAAGACAAACCTCTCCTCCTGTGCAAAAGACTTGGAAGTAGTGTGAACTGGTACAAAAAAGTGTCTATTGTTTTCTACAACAGAGTCCTGTTTGTGCATAATTCATTGTTTTGTCTGGTCTAAGCCTCAACAATCTTTCTATCCAGTCATGTATATTTTTGTATTTTTCTGGGCCAGTTGCATTACATGATTGATGGTCTAATTTACATTTACTATTTTTCTGTGTCTTGTCGATCTTGAAATTTATGTATTTGATACTTTTGTCTGTTTTAGACCACCGTTAATAATTATTCCGTTTCTGTCTTCAGATGATATAAGCATAAACTATCTAGTGTTATTACCATCAGTATTATCATAGCGGCTTACGGCCATATCACGTTGAAACACAGGTTTTCGTACGATCACCGAAGTCAAGCAACGTCGAACCTGGTTAGTACCTAGATGGGTGATCGTTTGGGCACATCAGGGGCTTTATGCTTGAATGTACGGGTTTTGTAATGGATAACGGCTTGGAACTCCAATTCCAGTCGGGTTCGTTAAATTCACATACGCACAAATACCAGTGGGAAAGGTAAGAATCCAGCTCTTCTCCCCTAGCTAAGTGTTAATCAGTAGCGTTAGTATCAGTAAATTATTATCTTCAAAAAATTATTACAATCTAAAAGATTTCTGACTTTCAAACACCTGCAAAGGGTTACGCTGTAAAAAAAAAAAAAAACAAAACAAAAAAAAAACAACAAAACATTAAAAAACATTACTGTATTTGGTATAAAAGACTCGCGGGCCTATGAGATGCACTCCTATTTTAGAGGGCATATTCAGGAAATGATTTTAGTGAACTTAAGCATATGTTAAAAGTATTACATTACAAAATCAATTTAGAAACATTTTATTTTTATTCGGTCGAGCTACCGGACATTCATGAATCACGGTCCTGCGTCAAGACCGGAAGCTCATTGAGGTGATATTCTGTGTCATAATATAGCTAGTCAATGTGGGTGATTGTTGGGTAGCCAGCTCGTCTTGCGCCATGGCCAGGCCTCCAGAACAAGTAGATCATTCGTAAACAGTGTCACGCAAAGCGCATTCAGTGTTCGCATAAGATTATAGAAATATCAAGAATGGAGCCATAGATCTGTGATTTAGCTGGACGTTGTATCCAAATGTTAAGTTTGACTCTCAGCATCCGAGTGTAGGTTTCATCAGGCTTAGACTATAGAGTTTTAGTTAATGTCCCAGCAGCGGGACCATAATTAAAACTGCCTTTACAGTGACGCGAAAGGATCTCCGTTTGAAGTTGTATGGTCGATCAGATTTCCAGATTAGGTCCATTTCATTCAGGGTGACCCAAGCTCTATCTCACATCACATTCACATCATTTTAAGTATAATTTATTTCGCTTCCTAGATATGTAAAGTGAATACAGATTTTATTGATTCATATGAGACGGTTTGTATTGAGCCTTGCTGGTTGAAGCTTATGAATTCTGTTTTAGAGGCAACATCGTTAGCAGCATTTTCTAGATGATTTACGAGAACTGCGGCATTTATAATGGTGTCTAGTGATTGCTACGTCATCTGCATAGTCAGTATCGGTCAAAATTTTGCAGGGTATCGATTTGAGTCTTAGTGATAAATTAAAAACTGGATTATGAGGTTTTTCGAGGGAAGTTCTCAATACGTAGTCAAGGGTGATCGCAAAAAGAAAAAGTGCAAGGGGTGTCACCCTGAAGAACTCTTCGTTTGATATCGAAGAAATTAGCGTCTCAGTTTTGAGATCTAATCAAAGATTTTGTATTTTTGTATGGTGGGGGAGGGAGTGTCATATGTCAGAAGGATTTTCTCCATTTTCCCCTTATGTATAGAAATGAAGACTTTAGAGAAATCTACAAAAAGTAAGGCGGCCTGTATATTTTTTGCCTTGACATTTACCGAACCGCCAGGATTTGTCCAATGTTTGATCTCTTTTTTCGAAAGCCATTTTTAATTTTTCGGACCACTATTTCAGATTGTATTCTGTTGAGAAACATTGAGTTGTAAATTTTTGTTGCAATGGAGGTGAGTGTAATTCTCCATATTTTTTGCCGATCCTAGATCTCCTTTTTTTGGGAAAAGAAGCATATAGCCTTCTGTCCAACATTCTAGGACTTCGCCATTATATGTGACGTTACAGAGTTAAAGTAGAATATAGTTGAAATCCTGGATCTTCCAGACCTTATGAGGAATCTTATAAAGTCTTGCAGCATTCCTATGTTTTGGTGTTTTTTAAAGACATTTCAAATTCTATATCTGTAAGGTTTCCATATTAAATTTCAAGAGAATATTTGCTTGAACTCAGTATCTAAAAATGTCGGATACATTTCCCAAAAGATGTTTAAAATGGTATTCATATTTATTCACCATTTCAGCCTAATTGCCTTTAACTTGGATTTATTTGTTGATTTTCTGCCACTTCGTTGACAGTTTTCCAAGTATGGGAAAATTGTTTGTTGGTAGCAGAGCTGATAAAACAATTTTTTCCTGGAGGTATTCAGCATGTTGATCTTTTGTTATTGAGTTGAGCAAGCGTCTCGTTGAAGTCTTGGATAGATTTAAGGGGTGAATTTGAATTTCTTATGGCGGCTTTTTCTTTCAAATTAGCCGTGTGTGATTCAATGCTATTTGATTCCCAATGTGTTGTTGGTGGTTAGGTTTTAAAAGGTGCAATTGAATCAACTGAAACCTATTCCTAAGTAACAAATTAATTGTAGGTTGTATTAAGAGATGGTTCCTCGGCATCTGTTTTAGTGTCTCAAACTTATTCCTGACAGCAATGATGACTGGTTTGAAGAGACCAGTCAAATGGTGAGAGAGCAAACATCCTTAGAGCCAATAAGAAAAGGTAAAGTCGGAGGGTGGAAGAGACAATCCGATGGTCTAAAGATACCCCTTCAAATGTGTTGAAGGCTTGGCAATTCATTGCACTGTTCTTCCACTATTCAGGATGTGATCCAATTTGGTCGTTGTGCCATTGGCTCGAGTGAATGTCCATTGCTTAGAGCTCTTCTCAAACTTAGTGGTTAGGCATAAAAGATTATTTTCCTGTATAAAGTCTTCGAGGATGATCCCATTTCTGTTGGAGGACACATAATATGCAAATTGTGTACGTCATTGACACCAACCTGAGCATCCATACCCCTACTAATAATCAGGAAGTGATGGTTTGAGACTAGTCTGACAAGAGAAGACGGACATTGATAGAAATGTGTCACCTCTTTTTCGTCGCTGGAATTTGTTGGTGAATAGCAGGAGATGATGGTCGTTATAGGGTTGAGGTTGAAGATAGCTATGATAATTCTGGGTTCAATTTATTCAATGTTCATGAGCACTTTATGGATTAGAGGACTGAACAACATGCCTTTACCACCAACGGTAGTACCGAGGCTGAGTCTTTCTTTTTTGGGTGAAACAAATTGCGGCGCTGATGCCATATTTGGAGGCATATCAACCTCTATGGTCTATTTAATACCGAAATCTAAATATTTTGAACACAAATTTATGGATTCCACTAAATATATACCATGAATAAGTATTGTTAATAATTTTACTATAAATAAGTATTGTTGATATTTTTATAGTTTCATAATAATTTGTTTTTGTTTGGGGGTTCACTATTTGTCCATATCTGGGACTAACAGGCGCTTCCACCCCAGGTCAGGATGGACCTGCGAACAACGGCAATTAAGAGGTAGTTCGGCTCTTACCAAAACCTCCAATCTCCTGATCAGAAGCCTTGCTGCAAGATGCAGTTTATCGTCATACCTAGAACTGGATGCCATATTTGACGGCATCCAAGCCACATGGTATTTCGTATGGATGCGTGTTTGCACCAGATGTCTGGTCTGTTAGTTATCGCTAGAGATCAAGGAACAGTAAATTTCATAAATTTTTTATCACCTTTGTCAGTGTCATTGTTGAAAAAAAAAAAAAAGTTGGGATATGTACAGAATTTCCAGTGTAGAGATTTATTATGGTAACTATGAACTACCACGATTAAAGTATACATGGACACTTTTCTAAATGTAGCTTTATTTTTAGTTTTATATTGGTTTTAAATATTGGCCATTATGTTCTGTACTTCAATAATTATTGTGATATTGTGGTGGAATTCACAAACTGACATTAAAAAAAAATATTTTTGAATGTCACAGTTTGTTAGTTCCTCTCTTGAATAACTGACAGTGTTTGTATTAATTGATGATGATTATCTTCACTGTATATGAAAACAATATTTAGAACAGGTGATTCACTTTTTACTCCAACAACCATCATCATTAGTTAGAAGCTGTCGTCCTATTGGGGGCTGGGGAGGGCAACTACTTAACAGTTGCACATCTGCATCCCACCATATAACGCGATCCAACAGTGTCAGATTGTCAAGAGAGGAATGAACCGACTGTGTCATTTAAGAAAATTAATATCACAATAATAATTATTGAAGTATACAACTTTGATAACTGATAATACTTAAAACCAACATAAAAGGAAAAATAAAGCTACATTTAGTGTAAAGTTTCCTTAGTCACTTTACAGCTGATAGTTCATAGATTACTATAATAACGCTCCGCACTGAAAATTCTTCACATAGACGACTATAAATGAGTAACTGAGAAGTATAACTGTATACTTAAGATGAATATAAATAGAATATAGTATGTATTGTAATTACAGGGAGATCGCAAATTTTATTATTAGGAAAGAGAATTACTCATTCTCTCTAAACCTCAAAACAGAGTTTTCATTAACAGTGTTGTTTTTCTTTTTAGTACAGAGAAAGTAAAACACAAAACAGCATCGATTTGAGCTAATCACGAAAAAAAAAAAAAAAAAAAAAACAAAAAAAAAAACAAAAAAAACAAACAAACTAAAATTACGTAAAATGATAATCAAAACTGCCTGTAATGATCCTTATTTTCTGAATACCTGACCAGTCTCACCATTTCACTTGAATCAGTTTCATTTCCATTCTGTTTCTTTGATCATTTCTTATACTCAGCAAATTTTTCTATTCGGCTTTCATAATCTAAATTGTTGATATTGTCACTATGGGAATATTTTAATGGTATCATTTATTAATGTTTTCCGATAGAAGGTTTCATGTTAAATATTGCCTTTTTGATATCGATCCTGATTACCATTTATTGTCTTGCTTTAATTGATATCCAAGTTTCGTGATCAAAACTTGTTAGCCAAATACATTGGTGAGGTAAATTATGCATTGAAACCCATGGAGATTTTGATGTTTGCAATATCATGAGAAACCTTTTTGAATACTGTCTGGCATCGTAATGAAATTTATAATTTTAACACCATTGCTCGAATTCGCTTGTTGTAAGTAGTCATATTTTCAAAGCTTTCTTTGTTGCAAAAAGTTCTTTCAAGATGTGTCAGAGTTAACTCTTCTAAAAGAAATCATCGCAAAACAAAAGTGGG